CATGCACAAAAATAAGACAGAGCGAAACCAAGCTACACTGTACAACAAAACAGCAACAACAGCAAACCACTGACAAAGAACAAATTAAAACACAACAAGAAATAAAAGCCCGTGGTTAGTTCAGGGATCGTTGGCCTTTAGGAGTGTTTTCCAGTCTGGTATCAGACATATGGGATGGACTTAAAATGGACTGGAATGCTTTCTCAATATACATTTGCTCTTTTACATAAAGCTCTTTCTTATACACATATGAGTGTGTATGAATTTGTTTCTCTAGTCCACCCAGACTAGCACAATCACCAAGAGTATATTTTCTAACTACTCTCCCTTCTTCATTTCCAACTTCTGAATGCCAATTGCAGTAATAATCAATACATCTCAATTACCTGTTTGATCAATTTCCAAATGATGTTGACAGAATTCTTCCATTCTTCATCCCTAGTTGTGGTGACTAGTGCATAAATTGGAACAATAGTTTTATTGATTGGATACCCTTCAAACTCTATAGAAATAATTTTAACAATGACAATATTGTACTTGACATGTGCTTTTAGACAATGAGTGAAAAGCCATTCCTCTCACTTATTTTATTGCCAGTGTAGAGAACCTATAAGTTTCTGTTTCAAAATGGCCATTGTTATTCCAGCACAATAATATCTAGAATGCCATTTTAATGCAACTTGTTTCAATTTTTTACAATTTTCCATTTCCTAGATATGTACTGTACATTCCAATTTCTTGTTGTTAATTGATGTTTCTGTTTCTTCTCATTTTCTGTCATGCCCCACCAGCAAATGAAGGTGGCAAATGCCGTAGGCTTTATTCAATTTACAGCAATATAGTTGATGCTACTTAGAAAAGGCAGACAGCTCTTCCTACATCACATTTTAAGTGCTTTCCAATCTGAAGGGTTCATTTTCTAAAAATGTTCTGCTCCTTTCAGGGGATTTCATATTATGTCCATGCTTCCATTCTGTCCATATGATTTTCAGTGGCTAATTCCTCTGAGTGGACAGCCTATTCCTTCTTCATTGTCTGTTCTCAGCCTGGAACCTTCACTGAAACCTGTTCACTTTAGGTGACCCTGATGACATTTGAAAAATCAGTGACATAGTTTCCAGCATCACACCAACATACAAGCCCCCACAGCTGGACAAGCTGACAGAGAATGGTATAGTGAGTGATCCTCTTTGAAACCTTCAGGGTCACTTCTGCTCTGCTCTTCAGTAAGTCCAGGAGTTAGCATCAACGAGATGGCATTGAGTTTGGTTTTGTTCTTTTGTTTTGCTTTTTTACTTTTCTATTCAGATCCTCAATTTTGTACTCAACAACTTAAACTGTGTCAAAACTAACAATGTATTGCCCTACCTCCTCTTTTTATTTTTCTTCGTCCTTTTATAGAATATTCTCTTCCCCTTCACCCAAGTTATTACCTCTCTCCTTTATTTCTTCTGCTCCATTCTCTTTGTCACCCACCTATGCTGAATATATCAGATCTCTTCTTCAGTTGGTCCATAACTTAAAGTATCATATTGTAAAGTTCTATTTTGTCCCTTATGAACTTAAAGTCGGTAAGTAAATGAATAAATATTTTTAAATTCTTCCTGATTCATTATACATTGTACCTCAACATTGGCCTGAGGGACAGGGGCAGGGGGCATAAGGAAGAAAAGTAAAATTGAAATAGCTTTGGAGTCTCGGAGTCTTCAGTAACTAGCAAGTTCATTTCAAATATATGAACAAAAGTAATATGAAAATTGGTAATTGCCTAAGGACTTAGCAACTGAAGATATGCAAAATACGAAGATAAGGAGTACCAAAAAAAAAGTTCTATAATTAATTGTGGTGATAATTGAACACATCTTCTTAATATAATTGAAGGATTACGTTGTTTGATATGCAAAGGACATGCCAAAAAACTATTTGCAAAAGTGCATAGTCAATTTGTTCAGTGAAATCCACTCTTCTATTCAAAATAATTGAAAGTAAAGACCTAGGCACGTTTATATCCATTTATATTGTTGAAAAAATATGAACACAGTGCCAGTGCCCATCAGGAGTCTAATGGAAAAGCAAATGCAGTATGCGATGCTATTTTGGTTAAATCACAAAGAGAAATGAATTCCTGACATATGATACAGAATTAATGAACCTTGAAAACATATTCAGTGTATTAAGCCTGGCACAAAAGGATAAACATCCTATGATACTGCCCACTTCTTTATGGTCCAAAATCCAACAATTTCAGCATTCAAACATGAGACTCCCACAGGGTGTATCATCACTCAGAAACCAACACACTGAAAACAGTATGCAAACAGTATGGATCTAATGAGGAAACTAAAACTCAAATTAACTCCTTACACTTTCCTCCCCCCCAAAAAAAGGGGAGGGAGAAAATATCAAGCACAAATAATATGAGATGACAGCAATTATTCTGCATTGAGAATTAATAACACTAAATGCACCAATCAAAGGACAAAGAGTTACAGACTGGATTAGGAAACAAGATTCATCAGTCTGCTACTTTCAAGAGACAAATGTCAAACTTAAATACAAAAATAGACGGAGAGTCAAAGGAAGCCAAAAATTTGACCAAGCTACTGATAATTAATAATCAGCAGGGATGATGATATTTATTTCGGACATAATAGACTTAATTACACAACATAATGAGAGAGAAGAATGAGCACTACATCATGTTCAAGGCATCAAATAACCAAGAACACATAAGCATAAATGTGCCCAAAGAAAGACCCTCAAAATTCATTAACCAAATCCTCAGAGAGAGAAAATGAGAAATCACCAGATCAATGATGATAATAGGAGATCTCAATACACCACTCTAAAGGAAAGATAGATCAATAGGTAAGAAACTCAATAAATAAAATACCGATGAGCTGAACAACACAAATGAACAGCTCAACCTCCTAGATATTTCCAGAGTTCTCCAACAAACAGTCAAGAAAATCCCAAATATATTCTTCTCCAACGCACATGGCTCACATTCTAAAATAGACTACATGCTGGGTCATAAAGAAAGCCTTAACGTACTCAAACACAGAGAGCTCATTCAAACCATCTTCTGAGACCACAGTGCCATAAAACTAGAAGCCAACAAAAGAACAAAAAACAAAGACAAACATTGGAGACTCAACAACACACTACTCAAAAACAGACAGGGCATTATCACAAATAAGAGATGAAATTAAGAAGTTCTTCGAAACAAGTGAGAATGATAACATACCAAAACTGATATGAACAGCAAAAGCAGTTACCAGGTGACCGTTGCAGCAATAAACACACACATGATAAAACAGGAGAGAATCAGGTTCAACAGCTTAACACAACACCTCCAGCAACTGAGAGCATGTGGGATCCAGCCCACAGTCTAGCAGGTCCTTAGGAGAGGCCTGTGCGATTAAGGAAAGATAAACGAGGCAGAAAAGACAGGGTTCAGGGGCTCACTCTGACATGGAGTGAGAGGAGGCGAGGTAGTTTATTTCACAGAGGCTGTAGCGTGGTGAGGCACGCCAGCCTCCATCATGCACATGCGCAGCAGAGTGTTGTCAAAGTGGGAATCTGAGTTAGCCTGAGTTCTTTTAGGAGAACATGTCAAAGGAAGTGTCTGGCAGGCAAGTGAACACTGGTGTCAAATGTTGTCAATTGCTCTTTAAGAACAGTAAACAGCAGCATTAGAAGCTTTTAAGGATAAGCTTCCTCTCAACAGTGTGAGAAACCAGGTGTTTGTAGGAGGCAACTTATTATTTTATAGAGGGTAGATGTGCAGAACCCATTTCCTGGAGAATTATGTGCACCTGGACTTCACTCTAAGTTCTGGTAACCTAGGAGACAAATAGAAGTCGACTCCTAGCATGAGAGGGGCAAATGGATCTTGACTGCTTTTAAAGATGGGCCTCTTTCAGCAGAGCAGCAATGAGGAGCTAAGTGGCCACAAAAGACAGCTCTAGATTAGCATCTCTTCTTTTCGGGGGCGGGGATATTTCCAAGTCTGTAAATCTTTTTTAAAAAAATCACTTAATCGGAGGCGCGTACAACTCTTTATCACAATCCATATAGCCATCCATTGTGTCAAGAACATTTGTATATTTGTTGCCCTCATCATCTTCAAAACATTGGCTTTCTACTTGAGCCCTAGGTATCAGCTCCTCATTTTCCCCTTCTCTCCTCGCTCCCCCTTCCCTCATGAACCCTTGATAATTTAGAAATTATTATTATTTTGTCATATCTTACATTGTCCAACGTCTCCCTTCACCCACTTTTCTGCTGTCCATCCCCCAGGGAGGAGGTTATACGTAGATCCTTGTAATCGGTTCGCTCTTTCCACCCCACCCTCCCTCCACCCTCCCGATATCGCTGCTCTCACCGTTTCAAGGAGGGCAGTTGTGGAGAGAAGTCTCCTTATCTGAGAATGTGTTAGATTTCATCTCTATCTCAGAACTGTGGAAGTCCTTTTTCACTAGAGTCAGTCTTCCAAGCCCTGTGGTTATGAGATTAGAGATCAGGCCGTTTACACTTTCACCCAAGTTCTCAGTTTCCCACAGCGTAACCCCTTAACAGCAAAAGAAAAGAAATCATAAAAACTAGAGCAGAGGCGACTTGCTGTGAGTATCCCGGCCGGTGCCGCTCCGCGCCTCATCGCCACGCCTCTCAAAATGGAAGAGATCAAGGACTTCCTGCTCACAGCCTGGCGAAAGGACACCAAGTTTGTCAAGCTCGAGAAGAACAAGGATAACGTGAAGTTCAAAGTGCGGTGCAGCAGATACCTCTACACCCTGTTCATCACCGACATGGAGAAGGCTGCTGAGAAGCTGAAGCAGTCTCTGCCCCCAGGTCTGGTAGTGAAGGAGCTGAAATGAACCCAGCTGGCTGATGGGAACGCTAATAAAAAATTTTAAATACAAAAAAAAAAAAAAATTAGCAGAAATAAAGGAGCTGGAAAACAGAAAAAATAATAGAAAAACATCAACAATGCAAGAAAATGGCTCTTTAAAAGGATCAACAAAATTGACAAACTGCTAGGAAACCTAACAAAGGAAATTATAATAAACGATAGTATCTAGAATTAGGAATGAAACAGGTGAATCACAACAGCTCCAAATGAAAAAAAAAAATAGAAAAAGGACTATACTGCAGTGTTATATAAGACTGCATTCAAATGCATTGATAATCTAGAAAACATAGACAAATACCTAGAAAAAAAATTCTTCCAAAAATAACACATATGGACATTAATAACTTGAACAGACCGTAGCAAAAGAAGAAACGCACAATCATGAAACTCCCAAGCAAAAAGAGCCCAGGACCACATGCTGTCATAGGACAATTCTACCAAGGATTCAGAGAAGAGCTGACATCAATTCTACACCAACTATTCCAGAATACAGAAAGGGACAGAAAACTCCCCACTTCATTCTATGATGTCAGCATAACCCTGATACCAAAGCCAGACTAAGCTCCCACAAAGATGGAAGACTACAGACCAATAGCCCTCATGAACTTAGATGCACAGATTCTCAAGAAAATCTTGGCCAATAGAACCCAACAACGTAGCAGAAAAATAATACCTCATGACCATGTGGTATTCATACCAGGCAAGCAGGGATGGTTCAACCTCAAAAAACAATTAATGTAATCCACCACATTAACAAGAAAAAGGTTAAGAACCATATGATCATATCAATTGATGTAGAAAACACATTTGACTATATCCAACACTAATTCCCAATAAAAGCTCTTAAGAAGTTAGGAATAGAAGGGAAAGTCCTTAACACAGTAAAGGCCCAATATGAAAAACCAATAGCTACTATTACACTCAATGGAGAAAAGCTGAAAACATTTTCAACGAATAAGGGAACCCGACAAGGATGTCCCTCCCATATCTCCACTCTTATTCAACATTGTGCCAGGAGTGCTAGCCAGAACCAATAGACAACAGCAAGAAGTCAAGCAAGTACAACTGGCGAAGGAGAACTGGAATTTCGCTATTTGAAGATGATATAATTTTATATAGAAACAATCTAAAGGTGTCAACAATAGTATTGTTGGAAACAGTTGAGGAGGTAAGTAGAGTAGCAGAATTCAAGAGTCACAAGCAGAAATCAATTGGATTCCTATATACTGGTGATGGGAATATGAAAAAAGACATCAAGAAAACAATAGCATTTTCAAGAGCCATATGTGTTTGTCAGGGTTTGTCTGTCTATCTATCTATCTATCTATCTATCTATCTATCTATCATCTATCTAGCTATCATTATTTACAGTCTGGGTTCCCAAGAAACAAATCCAGACACACTTATCTAAATGTATGAGAAAGCTTTATATCAAAGAGCAATTGTATGTTGGAAAAACATCCCAGCCCTGTTCAGATCAAGTCCATAATTGTGATATTACCTCACATGTCCAAAACTAATCCATAAAATGTGCTTTAGGCTCACGCAGCACATGCGATAATGCCAAATGCAGGAAGCTTCTCATCAGGAAGGTGAAGCAGAAAGAGAGCATGCATCATTGCATGTACTGAGGCTGAAAAGGAATTTATAGACTAGTATAGGACATGTGGGCTAATATTGGGATTATAGACTTGATCTGTGTTCAGCGTGGAAGTTTGCTTAACATAAAATTAGTCTTGGATATAAAGCTCATTTTTTTAAAAAAAAGTCATTTTATTAGGGGCTTGTACAACTCATCACAATCCATACATACATACATTGTCTCAAGCATCTTTGTACATGTGTTGCCATCATCGTTTTCCAAGCATTTTCTTTGTACTTGAGCCCTTTGTATCAGCTCCTCATTTCCCCCTCCCGCCCTCTTTCTTATACACACTTGAGTGCCTCTGCATTTGTTTCTCTAGCCAACTAGGAATAACACATGAAACTAAAGCTGAAATAACCTGGGAGCAAATCTAACCAAAGAAACAAAAGACCTATACAAAGAAAGTGACAGAACATTATTACAAAGCACCCAAAGGGACTTGAACAAATGCATCAATATCCTGTGTTCCTGGATCAAGAGACTCCATATCATGAAAAGGTCAATACTACCTAAAGGAATCTACAAATTCAATACAATCCCTTTCCAGATCCCAGCATCATTCTTCCAAGAAATGGAAACACTAATGATCAACTACATATGGAGAGAGAAGATGTCCAGGACAGGCAAAGAACTCCCAACAAGATGAACAAAGTAGGTGGTCTTACACCACATGACCTCAAAACCTACTATGCAACCACTGTGTCAAAATAGTCTGGCACTGGTATAATTACAGATACATAGACCAATGAATCAGGACAGAACCCCCCCAAAACAACCACATATAGAGAACTTATTTTTGACGAAGGCTCAATAAGCATAAAATTCAAAAAGGATGCTCTGTTCAATAAATGCTCCACTAGGTTAAAAAAAAAACCAACTCCACCTCAAACACACTTGTAACCTGAGGAATTAAGACTGAAAATTCATGGGGTTTAAAGAATCAGAAGACTGCTATACCAAGGTTATAGACCAACACTCATTGACTTACTACATCAGTGCCCTATATGCTATATTAAGATGTATGTTATTCTGACAAACCTAGACTGACATTCTCAGTGAATATTATTGTAAATGTTCTTTGACAACCAACTCGTTTTTTAAGATGTATATTATTCTGACAAACCTAGACTGACATACTCAGTGAATATTATTGTAAATGTTCTTTGACAACCAACTCCAATTGATTATGTAAATAGCATCAAGTCATGAAAGGATTATTTCTGTACAAGTGAATAATTCAGGTATTGAAATATGGAATTAGCCTTCATTGGCCCAATATATTTCTTTCTCAACAGTGTTTTAAAAATTAGTACCAGGGGTTAATTAGTGACAATATTCGTGGAAGACCTTTATTCCCCAGGGAGATGATCAATAATACTCTTTACTATACATTAACAAGGAAGTCTCTACAGGGAGCCAAAGGCAGGTTAAAAAAAACAACAACAACATAGACCCAGGAATGGGTTTGGGGCTCACAAAATCCTAGCTCTAATTTAAGAACAGTTAATTCTTACATCATAGCTCTGCTTGATACTCATCCTCAGGGAGGGAACATGTAAAATATGGGTGTTATAGCAAAGTGTGGTGAAGAAATTAGATGGTGCCCGGCTATGACATAAAATAGTGATTGGGGTCTTAAAGACTTGTTGAGATGTCAACTAAACCCACATGGAAGAAGTCCACATCAGTGACTGAAGGATTGTAAATCATATCCAAAGATGAAGGAGGGAATAGTATCAGAGCCTAAACTGTGAGACTATGGTTTGCAGAAGGCTATGGTTGACAGTGGGAGCCCAAGATACATATGTGAGCCCTGCATAGGAAGTAAGCCTCAGGTGACTTCCCTCTATACGTAATAGAGAAATGGGAAGAAACTGGTTATCAAACAGAGTGCTGTGGAGAGATGGCTATGGGAGAGCAAAATGATAAACCTGATTTGAATGGCTAAAATCCTTTCAGTATATGAGACCCAGTATTGGACCTATAGAGACAGGAAACAGAATAAGGGTTTCTGGGGAGTACAGTGAGGGATGTGTGTGTTTGGTGAAGGCAGCTGATATCAAGTTGCTCAAGAAGGGAGTATTTTGAAATGGAGTGTGGTAGCAATTGTACATTATTGCTTGATGTGCTTGAACTATGTATGATATCTGTATTAGCTCCCAATTAAATGGTTTTGAGGAAAAACAGAAAAAAGAAAAGGCAACTCTTCCTTAATCATATTTTGAGTGTTTTCCAACCCGAAGAGCTCATTTTCTAAACATGCTCAGCTCTTTTTTTTTTTTTTTTTACAGCTAAGACTGTTCCTTGTGCCAGTCAGAATCTGATACCAATTAAATGTGTTTATTGGTGACAGCTTTGCCAATAAACAAGCATATACGCTTCCATGGCTAGGAAGGGAGACTGCCACAGGCGGCCGGTCCTAAAGTTACGTGGACATGCTCAGCTCTTTTTTATGGGGCTTTCTGTATCTGACCGTGTTTCCACTCTGCCCACAGGGCTTTCAGTGGCTAATTCCTCAGAAGTGAACAACCTATCTCTTTCTTTCTTGTTTTTCTTCAGTTTTCTTGGCACATAATCCACATCATACAATTCAATCATTCAAATGTCAAGAAGAATTGTACAATCATTACCACAATCAATTTCAGAACATTTTCCTTCCCCCCTGACTAAATCACCTTTAAAATATGCTGTGTGGTCACATTCAGTAATAGTGCTCCCTCCCCATCCGGCCTTCAGTGTTTAATCCTGACATCCCCTTACCCTCCCCATCTCCGCCCCCCACTCTACATCCCCTACTAATCCTCGCATCTAGTTTTTATCTCTCTGCACCCACTCCTTCTGTGCATCATAAACTGGTAATCCCCACAGAGATGATAAAGAACAAAACCAAAATGAAGTGGTAAGGGTAAAATAATACCAATATAATGTGTTAGTCTGAGTAGACTAGAGAAACAAATCTATGGAGACTCGTATATGTATAAGAAATATCTATATACCAGAGCAATTGAATATTGAGAAAACATCCCAGCCCAGTCCAGATCAAGTCCATAAGTCTGATACTAGCCCATATATCCCATGCTAATCTATAAAGTCCTCTTCAGACTCATGAAACACATGCAATGACACCGAATGCACAACGATCACAGGCCCATTGGTGCAAAGTCTTGTGGATTTAGTAGCAGTAGAAGCATATCAGCATTGGCAGGAGTTCTCCACGTGGCATTTCCAGTTCCCGGGGCACAGAGTCTATTAGCATAGGGCCATGTGTCTTGTCAGTAGTGTCTCTCAGAGTGAGTCTTGAGTCTTGTCAGTAGTGAGTT